TTCCAAATGGAAGAGAACTGAAACTGTGTTCATATTCACTTCTAGAAGAAAGAGACAAGTAGTTTTTGTACTAGCACTCAAAAAGCAAAATGAAGAAAATAAAGAATGCTAGTGCTTGAAATGGAAAGAAAGAAAGAAATTGCATGTTTTGGTACTTGTATTTCTGGTGCATCTGTTCATGTGTGTGCTAGTTTCACCATGATCTGTGTTAAAGTTTGTTCCTGTTCATATAAAAGTTAAAAAGAAAAGACTGGTTTATAACAAAATCCAAAGCTTTCCAGGTGTAAAAATAAAGCTCTGAAATGCCAAAAGTTCTGAAATGAGAATCCATTCATAGTTTACAGGGTTGGACACAGGTTTCCCCAAAAGAGGGATTATGAACAAGGAAAAAAAGCCACAGAAAGGATGGAAGTAATGGAAGTATGTCCCTGTTAAATCACAAGATATGTACTGGCATAACAAGAGTTTTCTAATGACTGTAAAATATAGATGGAAACTAAGAGGGAGATCATAGCAATAATAACTTTTAACAGACATTGTCAAAAATATAAAACATTGAACTGTGGTACGTTGATAAATCAAATTTATATAATGGTTAATAGTTTTGCTTTTTTACCTAGTATTACCATTATCATAATACCTGAAGATCATCTTCCATGAGACTTGCAAACAGGATACCTATAAGGACAAACCACAGTTAAGAAGCCAAGACGCATATCAGTAATACTTACAGTTCTTTTAAATCAGTTATAACATATGCAGGATGCAACTGAAATTCAATTTATAAATTAAATATACATTTACTATTTATATTGTCATGATCCAAAGCTTAATCACTACAAGCAAGTATTGTTTTTGTTTGTTTTTCTGGTTTCTGATGTATAGAGTGGAAAGTACCACCTATACTTTGATTTTAAAAGTTAGCTCCACTTAACTGGTCTGCATGCCATAGACTACGGTTTACTGCAAATGCTGGGAGAGTAGCTCTAGTAGTGTTGGTCCAAAAAAAAATGCTGATAAAAAGAACCACTAGATAATGCTACCTGTACTTGTTTGCAGTTCTGACAGTGCTGCTATAGTGAACCTTGTGTTTGAATTTTTTTCCTATCACTTTGGATATGCCATGCCTTTCAGTATATACATTGGTAAGTGATGGCCAATTTTCAAGTATCAAAGTACTGGCAATACTTTCCACCCTGCAAATGTCTGATACAAATCATAAATCTGGAAAGAGGGGACTGCACGGACACAACTTCACTGTAAAAATTCAAGTGTAATGCTAATAAGAAAGTATTCACAAGCATTTTACTTATTATTAATAAATGTCTCTGCACACTTACACAAATAAATGAGCACAAACTCCATATTCCTGTGCATGTATTGCTTGCATTATGTCTAATGTATGATGTCAGTCGAGTGTTAGTAGGTAACAATATAAATAATTAGATGTTTTTGTGTGTTTGTGTATGGCTGCAGTTAATTTACTTTTGCAAAAATTAAGTGTACAAAATATAGTTAACATATACAATACTATGTGGATCAATTTCTTTTGCATCACTGCAAATGAAATCTCATCCTTAAAGCCTGCCCCCTAGAGTGGGCATGATTGGCAGACACAACAGAGGCACCATCAAAAGTGAAGTCACAGGTGTTGAAAACAACAGGAAAACTACTTGTTTACTGAGGCATTTGTGTGCCTTGTTACATCAGCTCTACTTGTACCTACCCTTGTGCCAATCACGCCTGCTTTTGTGGACTTGCCTTTGTCAAAGTGCTTCTATAAACTGAATAATGTGTCGCATAAAAATATAGTTGCTGCCTAATCAGGGATAGGAAAACAAATCTTGTTGTACAGCAATCTCCACTCCTCAACTCAAATATAGCAGAAAAAAAGTTAAAAGGAGGGAATATGAAGTTATATGAAAACCCTTAACGCAATTACTTTCAAAAGAAATGGAAATAAAATCTCCAAGATATTCAGATGGGCTTGTTGGACACAATTTCACTTTCCTAAGACTCCAATCTAAATTTACTGTTGCTTACGTTCAAGTGGCCAATCATTGGGCGAAAGTTAACGTATAAGAAAAGTATATAACGTATAACGAATAAGGTAAGAAGTTAACCCAAAGCTGTCAGAAGATGTATTGTTCACTTAAGCTTTATTTGGAGAAATTTCTCTACAAATAGATGGTCCTCAAGTGCTTAGCAAGCAAGGCATTAATTAGCAGACCTCATGACTCACAGGGTTTAACATTTCCTTGAGTTTTTGGATCTATTTTTACTAATGTCATTAATTTTGATGCTGTTATTTTTTATTATATACAATACCATTATTATTACAGTAACATTATGAAAAGCAATATAAGCCAAAGATAAATATTTCTGAAAATCAAGGAAAAAGGTAAACAGGTGAGATGAGTAGTACTAATAATTGACTCCTTTCTCACTAAGTACTTGTGAAGCTATCTATGTATAAAGACAAATAATAAACTAAATTCACAGTGGGCACGGCATGTTCATACATGTCATCTCTGGCAGCAGTGGGTTTAAACACTTATATCAGGGGTAGGAGTGGAAAAAATAAAGGTGTAAAGTCATCTTACAAACATTGCAAATAACAATATACAACTCAATATCCTCTTTTATGTTTGTTTGTTTGTTTTTTGTCCTTTCCTTCTATGCTACAAAGTGAAATTAAAAGAAAATTTGCCTGGTCAAGGAATGTATTGCTCCAATGGCTTTTGGTATTAAAAAAATAAAGAAATTTAAAAAATGAAAAGAAGAGAAGCTCCGAGCCTCACACATTGCAGGAAAAACTCTGTCAAGAATTAATCCAACATGCCCTACAAGGTCCTTACTGCATGTAGTTATTTAACACGAACTTTTTGCATTTGGATAGGCAGACATCTACACTCTTACACAAAAGTCCATTCTCCTTCATTGAATAATTATTCATTATACATGAATAGGCAAGATGACATGATAAAAAAAAGTAAATTACATAACAAGGTTACGTCTCTTCTGTATGTGAGTAACATGCAGGTCTGGACAGATGTGTATGTAATTGAGAAAATATGTACAAGTGTATATGTATACATGTATGCACAGTATGCTCATATTTATAAATATATTTGTAGACACATTTTTATGGGGAAAAAAAATCTCCTGGGAAAATTTACCAAGATGTTTTCACCTTCACATTTCACTCAGAAAACATTACAAGTAGAATTCTTAGACACAAAGAAATTATAATATATATGTACAACTGAAAACAACTCTCTTTGCAAAGACTTCCAGCAAAGCTATTAAATTGTCTTTATATTTCCCAACCAAAAAATGATGAGGTTTACTTGAATTTCATCGCAAAGAAAGACAGATCAATAACAAGGTTCCGTAAGACTGCGCAAGTTTTTTTTACAAAACAAGATTAAACTGATACTTCATCCTCAAAATAGATGTAAAAATGGCTTCCTAATCTTTAATAAAAGACTTTTGCACTGAACAGCCCACTTGCCTGTATGGATCAATAGAATTAACAAAAGGAGATAGCTCGTATTCAGATACTTATTTACCACAGATATGTACTGTCCTTTTACATTGCCATAAAAAAAACATATATAATCACCATCATAATCAAGATAAAAAAATAAAAGGTTGCCACTTTTTAAAGTATAGGTAGGTACTTTACATGAAAATAACTACTAGAAAGCAACCTTACAACATATTTTAACATGAATAGGAACAAGCAAATTACATTACCATTTTGATAGACTTCCAAGTCAAAATCAGAACATGACAAAAGCTTTAAGCCCTTGCACCTTTTATCTTTACAGAAATTTGTAAACCAAGGAGAAAAAAAAAGGAAAAATCTCATATCAACACCTACCATCATGACCCTTATAAACCTACTTGTTAATGAAGAACTTGCACATCAAAAGATGATACGGCAAATCCTCAATCACGAAAACATGATATTGAACAACGTAACTGGAATGACTACATAATATAGGAAAATATGATTTCTATGTAAGCAAATAAAATGTAGGGTTGGACATGTCAAGCTTAGCTGTTTGGCTAATGCAATAAGTTGTTTATCAATATACAATTGTATTGAAAAAAAAAATAATAATAAATTTGAAAAAAAAAATAAAAAATAAAATTACCATAATAACATTATAAAAGAAATCAATATTCCAGTCAGTAAGAACAACCCCAGCAGCTTGATGAAAAACAAAGAAAAAGCAAAACATGTATAGAAAGAGATAAGAAACAAGATAAAAAGAGAAACAAACGAGAGATCAGTGAAAGAAGGGAAAAGAGAGAGAGAGAGAGAGTGGGCAGGCTGCAAAAATAGACAGTGAAAAGAAGTCTGTCTGAAAACAGGAAAGGAGCATATAAATGGAAAAAAAGCTTCACTGCTAGAGATGAAAATAAGGTAAGAAAAGTATGGCAGTTAAATCATTCTCAACCAAAGAAGTGTTAGAAATAGTAATGGACTTTGGCCTCTTTTTTCTTTTTTTCTTTTTTGTCTCTACTGACTGCACACATTGATTTGTATAATATCCACCCTCATATCAGGCACAAGAAATATATTCCAGATATGCCCGACAAAATGAAAAAGACACAGAAGAACACGATAAGGAATATTACTATACACTTATTAAACATCTGATTATACATGGCCCTCTCACTGGGGAAATCACCTGACTATACTAAGAAAATATATATATTTAGCAGGGAAAAAATGTAATATCTTTGTTGTTTCGCTGCTCTCAAGATAAACTGCATAATCTTCCCATCATTCATTAAAAATCACTAAAGATCTACGACAAACAGATAAATATATCCTGCATGATGCTGCCAGTATGGTGGAGCTACAATATGGTCAATGATGATGCTTCTTACTCCTCTCTCTCATCCCCGTCAGATCTCTTCAAATGCTTCAACTGCACTACTCAAATCTCTTGGTTGTAAAGCAATTGTTGGTTTTCCATATTTTC